CACAGTTCATCCCACCTGTGTCCACGCTGCCTTGATGAGACTAAACAGCAGCTCTTTGCTGGGTTGGCGGAGGGGAGGGCTACCTGTGGGACCCTGGCTGCTGGCCCCAGGCAGCGGGCTAGTTTCTGTGCTTACTTGGTATACTGTGGGCTACAAGACAGTGGCCCTGAGGTGGGGCTGCCTTCCTGCTCCACCAAGTCAAGGCCCAAATGCTTGTTGTTTTGAAACTCTTACATGTGGAAGCAACATGGCTGGAGACACAGCAGGGGGTAGAGGGCTAAGCTATCATGCATGTGTTTGCACTTAACATACTACTTTTCTTTGAGGTTTGGGAAACCTCCTTAGCAGAGCTCAGAAAGGATTTTCATATACCTTCAGGAGAAGCGTATGTAACAGGAGGGTCACGGGCTGTGCCAAACCTTTCACCTGAGCCAAGGCAACAAGCTCAGTCCTCTGTGAGAGAGGCTCAAGTATGGCCGCACAGCTTTTAAATGTCCTGGCTTTGCAGTTCTGAGCAGCAGCTCAGAGCGTGGACATTGCAGCTCAGTACACTGAAGGGCTTATGTCATAGCAGGACTGTCGGCTGTGAATAGCTTTACGTAGGGACACTCTTACGTGAAGGCATCTGCAGCCACTGGTGCAAATGTATTCTGTTCCCCTCTGGCGGGTTCCTCCATCCTGGCGGGCGAAGGCAATGGCAGGGGGAAGCCAGCGCTGCTCCCAGGGGAATTCACATGCCTGTTGTGGGAGGTGGAGGACTACACTTTGCGGGGGTGGGGGGGGGGAAGTCGAATAGGTAGAAAGGAAATTTCACATCCCGCTGGGGCAGAGGAGCTTTGGGGCTGCAAGCCAGGCTGCTGGGGCATGAGTTCTGTTTGATCTTCACAGCCTCTGTTTCCATCCTAACCAGAACAAGATCGTGGGCAGATAAGAAAGGGCGCTAAAAAAAACTTAACACGTCTTATGTGACTGCTGCTTTGCAGTAGGGAATCACACATCAGAGTCCTTCCTGTTAAGAAAGAAAATGCTGCTGCTGTCATAGAAAACGACTCCAGACTGAAAACAGGGCAAAGGGAGGGTGCTTCTTTTTTGGGCCCTTCTCCTCCTTCCTGAGGTCAGTGGCAAGGCTGCCCTTCTCTGCAAAGCCAGTAAGAGCGGGCCCATAATTAGCCTGGAGTGGTGATTTTATCCTGGTCCCTCCAGGAAACTGCATAAAAACGTTATGCCTTTCCTCTTACCTTGTTAGAATATAAATAACTGAGGAAATGGCTTTATTTATCAGTATCACATAAATGTTCACCATTTTAACTTTGAACTGTAGCTAGATACTACCAAGTGGAGATAAATATGCAGGAGTTAGTGACGTTTTATACCAGATCTTTGGTTGCCTTGTATCGTCATAAAAAGCAAAGCCAGTGTTTCACGCATTTGATCATTTAGATAATAATTAACTTGCAACAGGGAGAAATGCCTGCATCTGGGGCCAGTTCATCTGCTGGTCCTCTGCCTTCTATTTGATAGAAGCGAGGACATTTACTCAGCATGCGCAATTTAGCTAACCTGTACCAGATTTAAACCAACAGCCTATAATTCTGCCTTTAAAAGAACATAGGTATGATGAAAAGCAAGACAGAAAAGAGAAGAGTGGAATTATAACCAGGCAAAGAGCTTACTGAAGAGATGTAAACAGTTGCTGAATTTCTATCCCTTTCCTCCTGTAATCCTATTCCCATTTACTGATCATTAAGAGTTACATTGTATTAGTTGGCTTGTGAACACAAGTCTAGGAATTTGGAGGGAATATTTTGAGTAACGCCTGTAACATACATATTCAATTATTTTTTTTTAACTGTCTCATGTGACACTATGTATTATGTTTTTCTAGGATGTGATGTGTATGAAGACACAGATTTTGTTGATCAAGTTTTATCTGTACTGAGTTTTGGGAGATTTGTTCATTTCTTCTTACATGTTTCCTCCCGTCACATTTGGGTGATAACTAAACTATGCTTACCAGAGCGGAAAAGACTACTGTTTCCTTACCTTATCTCTGAGCTGGACATCTTCACTTTACAGCTTCTGATTTCAGATGCCTGCCCATTTTCTAGCAGTGATTCCCAGCAGCAGCCCTCTGGTTCCCAGCAATGATGCCAGATCGATGTGTTCTGTGCTTGCACAACCTTGTAAGTGACAGAAAGGACTCAATACTATATAAGTTACCAGAATTATTTTCCCTTTTGTTATTAACAGGAAGTCCACCAATAGTAAACTTTAGAACCAGCTGGCGCTGCCAACTTGATCCCAGTTTGCCCTGCCAGCAGCAGATATCTGTGCACACGAGGTTCCTCAAATCAGTGACTGGCAAATTCCTAACACTTCACGATTTCACCTTCTCATTGCTGTATCTCAATTTAACCACTTGGGAATTGCTCTGATCTTTGTACCCTCTGCTGTGCTTTCACTTTCAGACTCCATTGTTGGGTTGAATTTCCCAGGTAAGAACTCCTTTAGAAAAGCACCCTGTGATCAGTCAGAGCCTTCAGTGCAATTGTGAAAGATGCTTTTTACCACAGCATCAGCATGGTGGATGACTATTTTCACTGCTTTATAGCAATTTTGGTGCCATTCATACATTATTTTTGAGCGTAAGAATCGGACAAGGCCTCTGACAACCTTTACGCATTGTGTTCTGATGGGTTATTTCCTTCAGAGCGGATGAAACGTTCGTAGGTAGATCATAAATACTTGGCCTCTGTTCCTGAACTCAAAGGTCGCTTTGCGTGAAAACAGCGAGCTGAACGTAGGAATAGGAGTGGATCTACAACTGAAGGTCATTCTCCAGAATGACCAACTGCTAAGTGTCAGAAAGGAGTTCCTCCAAACCTGAGTAAGTTCATTTCTTTAATGTTCTTTGATCTTTTTTTCTGTAGTGTATCATAGCCAGATTTGGCTCTTAGCACTGCCTTAGCGTCCTACAAATGCAGATAATCTGTTCCAGATCTGTCTTCAGGTAATCATCTACCGATGCAGGGAGCATTCTGACTTAATTTAATAAAACAGATGAGCTATTGTGTGAGGCAGTATCTCAACAAACAAACTTCCTTTGCACCTAAGTGAAATCAGTTTGGTCATTGTTCAGGGTAGCTGCAATGCTTGGATAACAACCCTTTTAAACAAAGGAGCCCGCAGACATTCTGAGAACCATTTGGTAAATTCAGAGGCGTTATGATATGGGTTAACTATATGGGTTTATTACACAGGAGTGAGTTAGTATCAACTCTCTGACAGGAAAAGGCAATTCTTTGAATATCTGCTCTCCAGGTGGAGAAAGTAAGCAGTGCTAAACTAGCCCAAAAGATCAGAAAATATTGTGAAGATCTTCTTTATAGTTCTATTTCAAACTTGACTAAATTCTTCCTTTCATAAGGCTTTCATCTATGGTTGTGATTCTTCCCTGTATTGCTGTTGAACTGTCAGGCTTCAATACTGTCCCTATTTTGGAGAAGTCAAGCACTAGGGGTTAAGAAACATCTGCCAAAAAAAAAGAAAATGCAGTAAAAAAAATCATTGCTTTTGCACTTCCCACACCTTCTCATCTTGTAAAATGGCAAAATTCTTCATATTTATTAGAGCACGGAAAACTATCAGGCAAGCAAATTCCCATTTGCCGTGACTGCTGTTGCTAGTTCCCTATTGCCGTCTTCTCACATTAGGACAGATAATTTTATTTTAGTATTTTATGTTTTATGAATTAGAAGGGTACAGAGGCCAGAATAACTCAGATCCAGACCTTCACGAAACAGATACAGAATATTTGGGAAGCAGGTCACCCTGCTCCACACCTCCACAGTTTGTCAGAGGTTTTAATTTTTCATTCCCTTCTCTCTTTGCAGCACGTTGATTGCAGCAGACACCTCTCTCCTCTTCCACCATTACAACAGGTTTCTTGGTTTCGTAGCTAGGCTGAAATCCAGATAACTCTTGTAAGTATGTCAGTAGTCCAAGCAGATGATGTTTGGTCACTAAAGATGTCTGTAGCTATGGATCTTACGCTGGGTTTTTTTGGTGTTTGTTTTTTTTTTCAATAAGTGATTCTCTTGCTTTCATAACAGCAAGGTCACTGCTGTTACAGATTTATACCCTAAGCCAAACGACTCCAAAAGAGTTGTTCAGTTAAGCTGAAACCCAGTTTATTGTATCACAGACTCTAAAGGGAAGACTTCTCCTTTCTAATCTCCCTGAATGTTCAGCTTGGGTGCTGTGATGAATTACAAGCCTGATTTTTCACTGATCTGCGTGAAGCAGACAAGTCTGTGACAGCCTGAGGAAGAGGAATAATGCTTCCCAACTCCCAGCCTAGGACCTTGTCTATGTGATTATGGAGCTGTGTCACCATCTTTACAGTGATAGATATGTGAAAAATGAACTCATGAGAAGAAAGAACTAAGTTGGTTCTATTTCCTTTCTAAGCAGCTATTTGATTTCTGTTGGAAATACCGTGGTCTGAAAGCCAACAGCAGCATCTCAACCAGTCCTCAAAGAACGCATCACACTTGCAAGCACTGCATTGGAAGTGATTTGCAAATCCCTCTTTCTGACAGGGTCTAAGATCAGCTCTCTCTCATGTGCTTTCAGCACACTCGAGGAAGATACTGATGGCTTTCAGATCATGGTGTTCTTCATGGGATCAAGTGACTGGGGACAGACTGAAAGAAAGAAAGTAAAGCTACGTAGATACATGTCACATTCTCATCCTGAAACTAGAAATGTATTTTAAAAGGGAGAACTCTAGTAAGTTTAAAATAAAGTTAAATGAAATTAAAGTGCAAAGTACAAGCAAAAGGAAATTCAGATATTATACTGGGTGTGGTATTGAATCTTGTACCCGTTGGGGCTGAGTTCTCTACATACTCTGAGCATGTTATTGTTTTTTGTAGCTGGCCAGGCAGATCTGTTCAGCACTGAGCACCTCACTGGAGTTTCTGACTTCCTAGGTGACCATGGGTACCGAATATGAAAAAGATCATATCAAAAAGCTGCAGGAGCAGCGTATGTCCATGCAAAAGAAAACCTTCACAAACTGGATGAATAACATCTTCTCCAGGAGTAATGTAAGTAGCTCCTTCAATTTGGGGATTTTTTTCGGGTTTTTATTGTATTTATTTCATGCACTGTATTCTTTTTTTAATGTTATTTTTCCCATATTTTTCCTGAGTGTTGTCATTACGCATATATGCAAGCAAGGAAGGCTTTGACTAACCAGAATGCTCCAGCCTATGTCTTTTACCTTACATCTGTCTCCATTGTCCATGTTACCAGTCTTCCCTGAAATCAGGGTTCGCTTTTGTAGACTACATAACTGTGTCATATTGTGATGCCCACTGTATCTTGGTGATCATCTCAGAGGAAGATCTTTATTTGCTCTTCTTTTTCCTATAAGTAAAGTATCTGCAAATGTCTGGATTTCCCCAAACAATTCTTAATTGTATGGTCAAAATTTAAGACTTTCTGCTTTGTCCCATCGGTCCAGCTTGATTTGCTACTCAATGGCTCTGAAAAAGCTGTCTTAAGTCTAGCAATTTCTAACATAACTACCATGAAAATACAGACCAGTTTGTTTTCAGTCTCAGACTTTCAAAAAGCTTCTGAGCTAGTTAGTGTACAGTTGATTTCTGTGTGCAAGATAACTCCAACATATTCCAAAAGTCTCCAGACTTACTGCAGATAAACTCATTTCAGGCACAAATGATGTAGCTGTGTCACAGTAGGGAATTACATAATCCAAAATCAATTCTCTTTTCTAGAGCCTGTAGTTGATGTTAGTTAAAATGGACCTTGGCAACACCAAGCAGGACCAGGCCTCTTGGTTCCATTCTAGCTCATCACTATTATGTGATGTTTCAGTATGAGATGCGTTTTTTTCGGTGTAATGTTTTAAGCTGATGGGTGGTGCAAAGGCAACCTCAGAACACAACAAACTTTTAAATTTCTCTTTCTTTACTGTAAGAGAACTGCAAAACATTCTCATTTTGCTACCCACAGAAAATTAGGGCTTTATGGTGTAGGAAGTAATTTCTGTTTAGCTACAGATAAATATATCTACTTTCTCATTTTAAAAACACCTTCAGGTTCAAAGATCAAAACACCAGCCTTAACTTCCTGCACCGTACTTGCTCACATATCATAAAAGCATGGGGAAAAAAGCCTGCAAGAGCTTTCCAAACCATATATGGTAAGAAATGGTGCAGAGACTGACAGCTTATCTAGGTCTTCTCAGCAATGTAGCCTCAGCTTTTCAACACACACTTTAACATGATTGGATCATACTGCAGGACACTGCAGTACTCTCAGCTGTACTGTTGACTACTTCAGGTCTAGCACTAAGGATGCTGTCGGTTTGAATTTGTTAACCAATCTGTGACTGGTAACTTTATGGGAATGACGATGCAACAAAGCTATTAAAACTATTGCTGCGTGAGGCATAAAGCAGATATATGAAGACTATCTCTTTACAAATTTAAATGGAACTATTCTTCGTTTATAGAAGTGACACAGAATATGACAGCTTTAACTCTTTTTATGATAAGATATAATAAGCAGAATTTTAAGTTTATTTAATATGCCAAAAGGAATAAAGTTGGCAACTAAACAGGAAGTTTTTCACAGAGATAATCAGTCAGAGAAAGCTGTAAATTCTTGTTCCATACAGAGTACAGACTTAAAGTCTCTCTGAGTTGCTTTTACGCTTCAGTGTTTTCTTCTTTCTCTGGAGAAAAGATCCTTTAAACTGATTAGTAATTGGTCAGGAATGAAAAAACGCATGTCTGTTACTTGTCCTTTTTTTTCCCCTACATGTAACTATTCTCTGAACTAAAAAAACTACTGCTTCAGAATTTTTAATTTTTTATGAAGATAAAAAGGTTATTTACTGTGATTTCAGAATCACAGTAAATTATTGTTGAGTGTGTGGTATGATTTTAATGTCACTTCTTGATGGCTAGTGGCATAAGGCCAAAAGGAAACACCCAGGGCCAGTTGTTGTTAGGTCAGAGAACACACTATGTCATGTTTTATCACCTAAGCACTGGGTGACCTTACTACTGGTAGCAATGAAATACATTTTTGTAAAATATCTTAATCTTTTGCTTAGTGTGAGACATCGGCTGAAAATATGAAAACTTTGGGTGGTAGCACAGATCTAAGCAGGATGTAACAGTTTTTTTTGCGATTATGGAGCAGAAAACTGAGTCATTAAATGGGATTATGACCTCAATTTTTAAATGAAAATTGTTGCTCAGAATAAAAAGTTGGAAAGATTAATTTGAATTGAAATAAAAAATGTCAACACTTCCAAAATATTTGATTTTGAAAATGCTGAATTTTAAAATATTTTCAAAATCTCCTGCTTTTTTCTTTATTTGCTCAGTTGTGGGTTGTTTTTTTTCTACTTCAGCCTGCTTTCAAAAATAATGTCAGTCTTTCTGCAAATCCATTTCTTGTGAGTTAAGATTCATCACCTTTCGCATATATGCACTGACATGCAGAAGACTCAATGAAACAGCAAGAATGTGTTGTTTGTTTAGTATTAGAAGTAGAGAGTTCTGTAGGCCAAACGTTCAGCTGAAGTCTGTATTGTCTGACTGGTCTTCATAGGTAAAGATTGAGATAGAAGATATGTACACAGACTTGAAGGATGGCATCTCTCTCATGAAACTCCTGGAGCTGCTCTCTGGAGAAGCTTTGCCCAAGCCGAACCGGGGAAAGATGAGAGTGCATTTTCTAGAGAACAACAGCAAAGCCATTACATTTCTGAAATCCAAGGTAAGTTAATATTGACATTAGAGATCACAATAGCTTATGTATGTTACTAACTAATTATAGTATTACGTTCATTATTATTTCATTATTATTATTATTCATTATTTCATTATTATTCCTTGAAGACAGGCCAGGGGTTTTATTAAAAGAAGAAAAAAAGTCATCAGATTTGAATTTCTTTGTTATTTGAGTAACATGACTTATAAACAGCTAATGGTCCTCCAAAACAAGCCACACCTAAATGAAAATGTACTGCATTTCTATATCTTTCTAGACATTATGTTTTCCCAGATGTCAGAGGAGAGCAAACATCATTAGGCAAAGGTGAAGCTACCCACTATAAAAATGAAAATTTTTAGAACTCTGATTCTAACAGTTTCAGCAAGTCATTTCAGTGATTTTATTTATTCCGGTTGTGCACCCTCATTTCAGCTACAATTTAGTATGTAATTTATTTTTTTGTAGAGCAACGAAACTAATGAAGGGTTTAGAGAACTTGCCCTATGAGGAGCAGCTGAGGGAGCTGGGACTGTTTAGTCTGGAGAAGAGGAGGCTCAGGGGGGACCTTATCGCTCTCTACAATTACCTGAAAGGAAGTTGTAGGGAGATGAGGGTCGATCTCTTCTCCCATGTTCTGAATGACAGGACGAGAGGGAATGGCCTCAAGTTACGCCAGGGAAATTTAGGTTAGATATCAGGAAAAATTTCTTTACACAGAGGGTTTTGAAGTATTAGAACGGGCTGCCCAGGGAGGTGGTGGAGTCCCCATCCCTGGAGGTGTTTAAAAACCGTGTGGATTTGGTGTTGAGCAACATGGTTTAGGGACCCTGACAGTGCAGGGTGAATGTTTGGACTCGATGATCTTGAAGGTCTCTTCCAACCAGACGATTTTATGATTCTTTGATTCTATGATTCCTTTCCAAGCAATTTATTGCAGACCTCTCTGGAAAATCATTACACAAAACTCTGTGCTATGAATTCCAAAGAAGCAGAGGGGTTTCATAGCAGTAGACATGGGAAAATATACAATATCTGAATTTTTGCTAATTGCAATACAGCGTGGGGCTCCAGCTGATGCATGCCTTCTAAGGCTACACGCTGTGTAAGGCTCAGTGGTATGTGCACATCCAGGCTCTGACAGCTGGACCAGCCAACCACCCCCTCCAGAGGAGTGATGCTGCAGATAGCAGGAGCAGGTATAGCATGCTCAGAATTCTTGAAAAAATATTAACTTGTCATGAACCACAACCCTGCTTGCTGCTCAAGTAATAGCGGAGAAGGCAGCCATGTCTTGTTTAGTAGGATGTTTGTACTGTTTGGTGAGCCCAAGAGCTATATGCTGGCTAGCTGACTGGAGACTAGACAAAGGAGGTAGTCTCCGAATTTGCCCTGCTGTCACTCCTTTGGAGGAAAGGAGAAGTGCATTGTATTTCTTTCCTTTGTTTAACCACCAGTTTTCAAAACCCTTATAGGAACTTTAAATCTTTGAGACCACTGTCCTTTTGCCAGGCTTTTGCTGAAACTCATCCTTAGTGCATGTGAGAGCTTGGGTGTGAACATGGGATCTTGCAGGTATACAGAAAAGTAAAGAGATCATGTGAAACCTGTTTCCTTAAGAAAACAGCCTGAACATCCTCATCAATAGCAGCTTGTTACAGAGGTATCTCTTTCAGAGAGCTGGACATGAGTTCTTTTATGCTGAACGCATATTGGTTTGTTAGCAGGTACAAGTAAAATTTATTGGTCCTGAGAATATCGTAGATGGTGACAGAACCTTAATCCTGGGACTTATCTGGATCATTATACTTCGATTTCAGATTTCGTCTATCAAACTTGATAAGGTAAAACAGTGTCTTTGTCTTTTTGCCTGATGAGAGTATTTCAGAGACTTTGTAGAGTTTCAGGCCAGCAAGCACCATTTTGATCATGCAGATCCTATAGCATTATGCAGTTACTCAGCCAGTAATTTCTAAAAGCAATTGAATCCATTTTATGGTTTCTCAAAGACATAGAAAACAGTCACTTGGAGATAAAAGTATATTCATGTTCCTCACTCTCTTCCACAAACTTTTTACTGGCTTTTGACTCCAGAAAGAATTCCTCTGATGACAGTTCTCCCTAGATTTGAACTGCATGCTGCTCCTTTGCTCTTTCTCTGAAGAAAACTATTCTTTTTAAAATTATTTAACATATACTCTAAGTACATGAAGGATAAGATCCTGCGAAGGTACTATAAAATCAAAGTTTCTAACATTAGACCTGGATACCTTATATTTTGTTTCTGAGTTCTAGATCATAGCTAAGGAAGCAAATAAACTGAGCTTTGCTTTCCACTTGATTTGTACAAACCTTGCAGATTAAAAACTTCTTAACATCTGTATTTCATTTTATAATTTCTGAGACCATTCAATTCCATTTTATTTTAATAGAAAACTTCTACTTTCATGTTAAATCATTCTACCTTCATGACAGATACAGTCTGCAAGTTATGACTTTGAAGGGATTTGTGAATAGGACAGAAGTAATACAAAGTGATCTTTGGAAACATAAGCATAAACTCACCCATGCTACTTCCATATATTGTTCACACTGTTTTTTCTTTTCGCTACTCTCTTCACAGGAAGAATTTGGAGGCAGAGCTGATGTTCTATTTGCCAATGAAGCCTTACTACTCTGGTGTCAACATAAAACTGCCAGCTATTCCAATGTGAATGTGAAGGACTTCTCCAAAAGCTGGAGTGATGGGCTGGCCTTCAACGCACTCATACATGCTCACAGGTAAGATCTGATGGATCAGTTCACGAGGAGTTGCTCGTTGCTGTTTCTAGTTCTGGCACAAGTTGTTCCAGGGTCTCAATTACAAATATTTGTCAAGAAACTGTCAAATTGTCCCTTTGCCCTTTCTCACTGAAGACTCTCCTTTCTTAAATGGATATTCTCTCTCTGAGGAAGAAAGGACCAAAAGCTCCTGCTTAGTAGTTTCTTTTGTTTAGCGTAAAATCAAATTTCCAAGGGAATATGACACATCTGAGCAATGCTGCCCATTATTTGGTCTTAGCCCCTCAGTCATGTTCCCATTGCTCTTTTTCAAAAGTTACTATTTTAGAGACTGATTTTACCGTATGAACTGTGTGAGCATGTATACCTTCTGGTTCAATTGTAACAGAATAAGCAACCTCTTAGTTTCTTTCTCCCTTCTCTGGCCCTTTGGAAAAGTGTGAAGAAAACAGCTCAAGGCAGGAGAGACAAACCACCTCGGAGAACCTTGAATGTTTCTCCTCTTATCAACAGTTCTGCTGCATCCATCTGAGGGCTGGAGCACCTCTGCTATGGAGACAGGCTGAGAGAGTTGGGGCTGTTCAGCCTGGAGAAGAGAAGGCTCCAGGGTGATCTTATTGCAGCCTTCTTAAAGGGGGCCTACAGGAAAGCTGGAGAGGGACTTTTTACAAGGGCGTGTAGTGATAAGGGGCAATGGCTTTAAACTGAAAGAGGGGAGATTTAGATTAGATATAAGGAAGAAATTTTTCACTCAAAGGGTGGTGAGGCAGTGGAACAGGTTGCCCAGAGAAGTTGTGGCTGCCCCATCCCTGGCAGTGTTCAAGGCCAGGTTGGATGAGATGTTGAGCAACCTGGTGTAGTGGAGGGTTTCCCTGCCAATGGCAGGGGGGTGGAACTAGACGATCTTTGAGGTCCCTTCCATAGAATGTCATAGAATTTCTAGGTTGGAAAAGACCCTAGAGATCATCCAGTCCAACCGTCCCTAATCCCCCATTAAACCATATCCCTAAGCAGTTTTTCATAGATTTCATAGATTTCTAGGTTGGAAAAGACCTCAGAGATCATCCAGTCCAACTGTCCCTAATCCCCCATTAAACTATATCCCTAAGCAGTTCATCCACCCTTTTCTTAAACACATCCAGGGATGGGGACTCAACCACCTCCCTGGGCAGCCTATTCCAGTGGCTGACAACCCTTTCAGAGAAGAAATACTTCCTAACATCCAACCTGAATCTCCCCTGACTAAGCTTATACCCATTTCCTCTTGTCCTATCACCCATCACTAATGTAAAGAGCCCTTCCCCCCTTCCAACCCAAACCATTCTATGATTCTATGATCTTCTGGCAGGATACCACGGTGGAATCCTGTAACTTTGCCAACTGGTAGTCACCTCCTTTTTCAGAATTGCCTCTCTAGTGTCTTTGGTTTTCACTTATCAGTGAAGAGGAGAAATAAGTGAAGGGCAGAGATGTGCTGGGAGTGGTACTTCAGTTTCATAAGGGACAATTTTCTTCCTGTTATGTAGGCAAGAGGTGATGCTCTTGAATGAAGGTCAGGGTCAGACAGAGCAATTTCAGTGTTAATGTCACATTCCTTAGTCTAATAAACAGTTTATGGTTTATCATCTGAAAGAACTTATGACAAATATAAATATTTTTTCCTCTCCACACCCTGTTCTCCTTGCCTAGGCCTGATCTTATCCACTATAGCTCACTGCGGCAGGACCAGTCCATCAAAAACCTGAACAATGCCTTCAATGTTGCTGAGAAAGAGTTAGGAATCGGCAAACTGCTTGATGCTGAGGATGTGGCAGTACCATATCCAGATGAGAGATCCATCATGACTTATGTGTCACTCTATTACCACTACTTCTCCAGACTGAAACAAGGACAGACAATACAAAAGCGACTTACCAAAGTAAGTGCATTGCTATCTTCAGAAGTTAAAAGTTAAAAGTTAAATATGTAAAGCTAAGATTACATTGGGAATGTGATTTTATTTGTGCAAATTCAACTTGAGGATCACTTGAACTGAATTAGGTGGCACAGCCATTTGAAAGACCTTTTATTGTCACTTGAATCTTGAGAAGTGTTTGTAGACTCTTTGATCTCTAATGTGGATAGCATTTATCTCACTGAAAATTAATCCCGTTTTGACCTCACACTTTCTATTTGAGAACTGATGTGGATGCAAGGCAACTTGAGGCATGCAGATCTCATTAATCTTGGGGAGGATTAACGCTAGGCAAAAGCAGACCTAATCAACAATTTTCTGATTTAATAGGACAGATAATCCTTTATTCTGTGAGATTACTTTGGATTTTTATTTCCTGTGAAAATCCTCAGCCTTTCTTTCTAACTCCTTGGTCAAAAAAAAAAAAAGATATGAAAAATGAGGGAGTGCAAAAGAAGGGGAATACTCCTAGGGAAAAAAACCCTCAAAGCTGAAAAAATGTTTTTTCAGTTTCCACATACATTTTGTCACACATACAATCATGAGTTACATTAAAAACTACTTGCATCCTGTTCAAGGATGAACTGAAGGAATTTTGTAGTTGTTCCACTGAAGACCACTTTCCTTAGAGAGAATTTGTTTTCTACCTTCAGAATAATCTATTTTGTTTTTTTCAAAAACACAAAACAAATAGCCCACAGAAAACCTACACACCCAGCATGGGTCCTACATGAACACTTGGACTCGGAGAACTGCCTGTGCAGATGAGAGGGGGAATATATTGCCTAATGGGAGGCACAAAAATCCAAACTAAGACTTCCCTGGTGGTGACAAGGTGAAAATCTTTGGCAAAGCAGGGTTTGCTCAGCTATAAAAGTGATCTGGGACAAGAACAAGATAATCCCAAAACATGTATCAGTAACAGTGATGTTCTCTGAAAAGAAGCATTAAATGAGAGCAGAACTTGGAATTCAGTCAAACAAAGACTGGGCACCAGCGAGGAGAATGGGCAGTAGGATTTGACTGGTCTACATGTGAGTCTCTAGACTTTGGCCAGAAGAGGTTCTTTTTCCTCTGATAAACCTGAAATAGTCCTTGAGTCACCAAGCACGTATTAGAGAAACTACAAGGATCAAGTAGGCCGTAACTTTTGTATTGTGGGAAAAAACAGTGTTTCTTACTCTGTCTTTTTTCAGTTCTTGTGCTCCACTGTTGTTTCCATTTTGTATAGGTATATTTATTCTATCTTTTCTCTCTCTTTCTACTTACCTGCCTCTTTTTCTCTCTTTGCCTCCTTCCCTTCTTTTAGCCTGCCTCTAGTATTGCATTCCTGTCTTCCTGCATTTCTGACACACACAAACATGCAGAAGGAGAAGGAAACAGATGTTAATCTCTTCATGTCCTTAGTCCCCTCATATAGGCAGCTCTGAATTTACTAATAGGATTGAGGAGGGAAGCCTGAATGTGCCAAGTTCAGACTAAGTGTGTGACCAGGATGGCAGAGAGAATCAGCCCAGGGAGGTAAATCTCCTTTCTCCCTCCCATGTGAGGTGACTATGCATTTGCTAGGATCTTTCAGCGAGAACTGGGTACGATGGCAGAAAACACAGAGGGGAGCCCTGATGTCACGGGCTGCTTTTCCTGCACTAAAGGTTGGTGCTGTTTTACTGCTCTTCCAACACTGTGACACTTACTCATTGCCAAGTGCGCTTCCTCGTAGGTAAAAGCAGATTACCACTTGCAAGGACTTGGTCTTTGCTCAGTGCCACCTCTCTGACTAATCTGCCTGTCTGGAGCAGGTGGGCTCAGGGGAATGATAGTGGCAGACAACATTGTTCAGCATTAAACCTGACGTCTGCAGGAGGGCTACTGAGTTAGGGTGAGGAAAAATTATAATATAAAGTAAAAAGACAAAGGTGGAAAAAATGTAAAATGGAAAAAAAGGATGATTTTATTTTAATACTTTTTACTTCATTATGGATTTCATTCTAAATGTTTCCTCCAGTGTTTGCTTGAACTTTGCCAAGTGCAGAGTCCTTCACTTGGGGTGT